GATGAAATATTATAAAATCTTAATGATGTTAAACTAAGCTCAGTATTACAAAGACTCTCTGTACTTGTGCATAGTATAAAATAAATTTAAAAGAATTTGAAGCTTACGTTTGTGCCTGGTTCTGGATTTGTTGTGCAATAAGTGGGTTGATAGTCTTCTGCTGTCTATGATAAGGGGAGAACCAGCCTCTCACAAACCTAGGAATTGTCCAAAAGTAAATATGAGCAGTTTGGTGATATGTGGCCAGGTTTAACAAATGTATTTACGTAATGTCTATCATTAAATCAGTATTAGTATAGCATTCTGTACAAATACTGGCTTTAATGATTTTTACGTTATGACTTTAATGACTTACATATTGCTCTCAAAGTGTCTGAGATTTTCCGACTCAAGCAATGCTGTTAGCTGTACAATGAGTTCAGCTAGTTTTATGCCAGTATATGAGCGGGAGCAACCTTGAGACAACCTGAACCACAGATACAACAGTAAACAAGTTAACAAATCTACTGAAGTAGCATGTAAAGCAACATATTTTAATAACATATTTTAAAGCAATTTGTAGTTTGAAAATATGCCAAATAAAAAAACAAATTTAATTCCGTAATTTAAATTGTTCTGCAGGAATTCAGCTATCACTGTGATTGCACTCGTAGTCAGACAGTACAACCTAACAGTAATTAAATAAGCATGTGATACGATGAAGAAGGTAATACACAACATTTTTACTGATTGTATTGTTAATTATTGTTTATTTCCTACATCACAAATGTCCTAATCCCACTAAGTGACTTGCAGATCATTTTGTTTATTTAATGTGTCCCTGAAAAATGTGGCAACTTTTCCTCAAACTTTCTTTAATAGAAATTCATTCATCTTCAGGATAAATGAATGGTCAGGGATGTGGAGGATCTGGAGCCTATTCCGGGAAAACTGGGTACAAGGTGGGAATACAGCCTGCATGTGACACCAGTCCATAGCAGGGGTGAAAAGAAATCATAACTTTCATGAACGTTTAATACCTCTCTACATCTCCAACTTCAGTTGTGCCTGTGCCAAGTGCCTCCATCACCTTCTGCTGAGCTTCCTGAGTAAAGCTTCCTAAAGCAGCCGCAATAAAAAAAAATGTTACGAGCTGTTTTAAGTGTTCTTTATCTATTTTTTGTCTTTGGGTATCTTTGTGTATTAATTTATAAAATAAAACAACAATGGAGCTGTTTCATGTTAATGTTATACTGAGTGATTATACAGTATATTCTCATAAATAGGAACAAATTGTACAGACAGACCATGTTGTAGAGTCTGCAGACATGAGGCAAGAGAGTGCAAGCCGAGGGGCATCAATTCGCACAGAACAGACAGGTGGTCATATCTATTAAAAAAACAAACATACATAAGCATACATAATTCAGAATATATTCTTTAGAGATTTCAGGATGCACGTTTTTGGATACAGAATCTAAACATCATGGTACCTACCTTTGCCAGCCAGTGAGTGCAATGCCCTGTAGATCAACGCCAGGCGAAAGACCAGATACCACTTTCAACCACTGAACATGATTGTCCACATGCCTTTGTGTGCTGGTTACACAAGTGTATACAGTGGTGGAGCCTTTGAAAGAACTCGCAATCCACTGCTGGGATAAACCAGCAGCCTTGTATTTCTCCATTAGCATAACTGAGTGGAGAGAATGGATGTTTTATTAACCAATCTTAACCTTGGACACTCTCAGATAATTACTCAGTTATTCATCTTAATGCATCTTGTTCAGTAACAGCAGTGAAACTAATGTATAAATATGTAGTTACGAGGGTGAGGAATGTAGATCTGGACCTGATCAGGGTCCTGAGTCTTTAAAGGGTTAAATAATGTTTGCGTTGAATCAGTCTGCATTGACTTGAATAATTAGGGTATGTGCCAATACGATATCAGACTGATATTGGCCAGAAAGGCTAGATCAGTATCAGGCCAGATCTGACAGACATATCTGATTTATGTTTTATACACACCACAAACATGTGTGATGTTTCCTTCTGGGTTTTTTTTAGTTATCATAAGTAAAACATGTATTTTTATAACATGTATGGAAATTCAAGTAGCTTAATTTTAAGAAAATAATAGCCAATGGGGCACACTCACAGCTTTTATAATTAAAATATCATGTACGTAAATTTCATGTAAGGTTCATGTATTTCTTCTGAGCAAATAACTGCGATCTGTAGCAAAAACAAACTTACTATTGTTGGCCACATCCAGAGTAGGGCTATAGTCCCACAGCATGGGCTGCACTAGTCCTACCAGACCACTATCTAAAAATGAAGAGAAATATATTCACTAAATATACTGAATGAACTTAAAATTGACAAAGGCACAGACATTTACAGTGTGACTGTAGATTGTCACACTGTAACCATTTGGTGTTTTAATACAGTACGCTTGCTCTAATGAAGATATATATATATAGACACACACAGTATTGTGTAAAAGTCTTGGCACCATTTTTTTTTAGTACAAACTTTGTTATAGATTTTTATTTTATGACTTCTACATTATTGATTCAGTACAAAAACATTTTAGATTTCCAAACATTAGTTTTCCAGCACAAAATTAAATGTTGCAGAAAAATGTTTGTATGTCAGTAAAGAAAGCAGCGTATTACATAAGAGACCACTTCTCAGACAAAAACCATAATGAAGGCTGCTGGGTTTTGCTGCAAAAATAAGAAGCGAGTGTGACAGTCAAAGTCTGCAGAAGAACTGTGGCTGGTTCTGCAAGATGCTCGGTAAAACTTACAGCTCATTTCCTTATAAAACCGCACAAAATGTACCTGAGACTACTATTTTTTTTTAAAAAGCGAAGGATCGTCACACCAAATATTGACTTTGTTTCATTTATTACTGTTTACTGCTCTTTATAGTATTTTTTTAATTTAGAAACATTTAGTTTCATTATTTTTGAAGGCATCTTTGCTCTACAGCATTTCTTTGCATGTGCCTAAGACTTTTGCACAGTACTGTGTGTATGTATGTATAATATATATATATATATATATACACTATGGTACAGTCTCACATTAGAAAAATGTCTAATGTCCCCTTAATAAATGTTTTTGTGAAAACAAAACTGCACAATGTGAGTTCACCTTTAATGGTGTCAGAGGTCATGTTCCTCAGCATGTCATCCCACATTATCACACTGAGGCTGGGGTAAGTCTCCCTAATGCCTTTTGCCACCTTACTGACATGACTGAGGAACAGCTCGTCAATACTGTGACCTGGAATGCTTAACCACTCTTTAGACTCCTCTCCTTGACCCAGCGTGTATACCTGGGTAAAGAAACAATGTAAAACCTTAGATTATATACAGTATGTATATAGATCTATAAATAGATTAACATTCATTTTCATTAAACACTTTATCCTGCTCAGGGTCACTACTTTTCAGTGCTACTAGAAACAGACCATGAGGAGATAATGTAACCTTTGAAACTTTTAACAAAAGACTAAAGGGGTTCATGACCATTTTAAAAACAGGTCCAAATGAAAAGCAGTTACATAGTTACAAGTTAAGTAAGGAGTAAAACACAACAGGGCATGCTGTGAAATGTCTAAGTCTATTTTTATTGTGAATTTTAAAAAAATCTGATTACTGGATTAATCGTCAAAATAATCGTCAGATTCCTCGATTACCAATATAATCGATAGTGACAGCCCTAAGTGTTATAGAAAATTAAATCATCACCTTCTGACCAATCAGATTTGAGAATTCGACAGCTCTGTGGTGTAGTACACAATAACAGGTCAAGCTTGTGCTGTACCTCATCTGCCCCGATATGCAGAACAGTGCTCCTCGGATGAAGCGCCATAACTTGACGCAGTATCTCCAGTATAAGGGTAAGTCCTTGCTTGCTGTGTGGGTTCAGGGTCCCCAGGCAGTGGCTTACTTCTCGCAACTTGCTGAAGGTGCTATGCTTCAGGACAAACTGGCAGGAAGAAGTAATAAAAGAAAGTGTGTGTGATGAAAACCAAATCATTTCACAAACTGTCTGTATAGTTGTATCACATGCATGATTGGCAAAACTCAAATGAGTAGATGAGTAATCATCTATATGACGTATAATTTTTCCAGTACCAAATATTATTCACCTCTCTCACTCACTTCAAGGTGTCCAAATGTCTGCACCAGAGGAATGATCTCCAACCCTCTGGAATAAGCGACATCTTGAATGGCAATAATTTCTTCACGGCTGTATGCGGATCAGTTAAAATGACTTCAGACAATCATCGAATAAATAAAAAGGTTCATATTTTTGATGGGAATTTGGATAGAACATACAGTAAGTAGTCTTTTCACCTGTAGGGTGGGTGAGATTTTGACTGAAGAATCTTCAGCTCTCCTTCATAGGGAAACATATCCTCATACTCAATAAGGAGGCCATTTGCACCCAGATCAGCAAAAAGCTGGATCAGCTGTGGAACAGATGGTCAAGGTAAAATCTGCAGGGCTATACTGAGACTAAACAGCATGCATAAAGAACATAAGATCTGTCTTTTCTGTACCTCATATAAGTAGTTAATTCTAGGAGGTGCTCCTTTTAAATCCAAGTGAACCAATTTTTTGCCTCTTGACAATGCACAAATGTCCATGGCAGGTCCTGTTGTGTGATCTGTAACAAAATGATTGGATGTATTCAGGGGTCCTGAAATTTATTAGTATATTTGAACGTTTTTAGTTTGATATTGTCTTCTGTACATGCCTTGTGTGGATTATTTGCATTGTGTATATGTTTAAATACAGACTGTATGTATGCAACTACATGTCTAAATATGTGACTATTATGTGTACATACTGTATATGTACATAATACCAGAGCTTTTGTTTTTTTTTTTGAAAATTACATTTTCTCCTGAGGATCAATAAGGATCAAAGCTATAGTCATCCCCCATGCCAACCAAGCACGCAATAAACCAGCATGCCATGCAATAAAGCAAGCTTTTAGATGGCATGGTGGTGCAGTAGGTAGCACTGCCATCTCACAGCTCCGGGGTCCCTGGTTCAATCCCTGGTTCATGCTCGTGGAGTTTCAGTGCTGGTTCTTCCTGTTTCTGTGTGGGCGATCTCTGGGTTCTCTGGTTTCCTCCCAGCTTGCAAAAGGATGCTAATGAGTGGACTGGCTGGTCAGAATTGCCCTAGGTTTGAATAAGGGTGTGAATATGTGTGCATGGTGCCCTGCGATGACACCATTCAGGGTGTGTCCCCACCTCGCACCCGGTGTTCCTGGGATAGGCTCTGGATCTACAGCGACCCTGACCAGGATAAAGCAGTTACTGAAGATAAATGAAAAAGGTCCATCTATCTATCCATCCATCTTTGTATCTAGCTATTCAGACCTAACCATGACACTGCATAGGGTCTACTTGTCTAGTTTCAACACAACATCATTTTTGAGAATGGCTGCCCCTGGATAGCACATCAAAAACCGGGGCCAATATTAGCTAATTTTATAAATATGACTGTTAGGCTCGATCATTACTGATAACAGTATTTAATTTAAAAAATAAATCTAATGAGAGCCTTCGCATACCGTCGTGTCTGCTGGTGCACCGTGCTGAACGCGGAACTCCTGCACACAGGTGCGTACGTGCGCGTGTGTCTAGTAGGTCCGTGACGGATGACGTAAAAACGAAACTCTCACGGAACCGGAAGTGGACGTGGCACAAAGTTGCTGTACTTCCGGCGCGAATGTCACCGCGGTGCTAATGCGACGGCTGGCAAAATCGAGGTGGAAGAAAGGGATTAACCAGAGCTAGTGGCGATACTGATTCAGGAAGGTGACATTTGTGCTTTTATTTACGAAAAAAAAAATACACGGAGATCTCAGTGATCGACTAAAAGGAGCAGTTTCCCTGCCGGCTCGGTTATTTACACATCTGTCTAGATCGGAGGTAAGTAGTGAATGTCTAATGCTTAGTCGGGGCTAACAGGCATGCTAACGTTAGCGCCTCTGCTAACAGGGTTTAGGTAGTATCGACGGTCTTGACTCGTTTTGTCATTAGCTAGCTTTGGGTTTGTTTATTTATTTGTTTGTTTGTGGTGTTGTGAACATTAGCTGGTATGATAGCTCGTGCTATTTTATTCGTTCACTTTGGGGAAGAACTCTCGCTGTCTTGCCTGAAAAGTGAAGTATGCTAGCAAGTTAAGGCCCGGTGTTCTTGCTTGTCATTAACCGGCTTCACTAACATGGCTACGTTACATGCTTATCGTTAGTATTTATCTACAGCTCACACGTCGTGTGTGTTTGTTAGCTCTGTTGTTTTATAAAGCTATCCTGTCAGCTTGCTCGACAAACTTGTTAGCTTGTTAGCTGTTTAGCTAGCTCGGTTTTTACCAAGCTTGTATACGCAACTGGCTTTCAGTGGCCTAGCTAACTGTGTAGGTAAACTAGCTAACCGCCTAACCTATGAGCCTAGGTCAGTAACTCGGTAAGATATTATTATTATTATTATTATTATTATTACATGTAACTTGTATGGTTTTAGAGGTGGGCGGTGTGGTGAAAAATATCACGATACTAAAGATATTTTCACCATAGACGATATGTATCACGATATTTAGGACTGTTAGCAAACTGGCAGCAAAACAGAAGTGTAACATTTAAAGCACTCACACACACACGCACAACTGTGCTTACATTATTTAAAGTCTTCAAAAATAATTATTTTCTGTTTACTATGGAAAGTAAGGGAAATTAAACATAAAAAAAACAGATATTTGTCACACTAAGTAACATCATTGTTCAGTGTGTGTTATAAAAGTCCTGACACTACATGTGGTATGTGATATAATATCATGAGATGAGAGATTATATTGTCATATTGTTAAGTCCTGTCACATATCTAATTAATATTACTAGTTTTGATTTCATATTAATTTCCAAACATGAATATGACATTAACATTTATGTTATTGGTAGTCTGCAATAAACCTACTTCTAAGTCTAAAACAAACAAACAAAATCCATGCCCCATCAACCAAACTTTATATGAAGCCAGGCGGTTGCTGCTTAACCATCCTAACCAGCGTGTGCTGTGAGTCAGTGAAGCATTACGCACGCTGGGCACTGTACAGTGTTACAGTGTCGATTACATTGAATTATTCAGAAGTCCATGTTGCGTTGGTGCTGCTATACTACCCATCATGGAGGGTATCGTCAGTGATGGACAGATGACGCTTACTGGTTTTAGTTGCTTTTGCTGCTTAGGATCAGACCACAGTGTTGATGTTTTCTGACACTGGAGATTTTAATTGTTTTATGACAGTTATAGAGTCCACCTCTGCACAGTACTTCAAGATAGGCAGTGGCAAGGCATAGTTATTAATCACAGACTGGTTTTAATACAACACAGATACAGCAAGATACACTGATGTTGAAAGAAGCTTAAGATCACAGAGTGGAACGCTGTCTCGAACAAAACAGTTTGTTAGTTGTGTGCAAAGTACCTGCAGGTTTTATCTCAGATGCAGCTCTGGTGTATGTTAACTCCACATTTGATGATAATTTGCATGTTTAGTGGTTTCAGTCAACACGCACACACACACACACACACCCCCACTTGAATCTGTTTTCCTCTTTAAGAGTTGTTGTTGAAGAGAAAGTGTTTTGCTCTTCATCTTAAACCCAACATTTTTCAGGTTTAGTAACACTGGTCTTTTAGTAATTAATATCCAACAAGTTGAACCTCACACTCCGTGTTCTCTTCTCGTTTTCAGATTTAGGGATGAACTGAAAATGAATGTCAACCAGCAACCTCACATGGCCTCTCCTTATGGACAGCCGCAGTCCGGCTACCAGGGCTACCCGCAGTCTGGTTATGGGGGTCAGCAGATGCCCGGGGGTTATGCGGCCCCGTATGCTCCCTACAACGGGCCTGCCTCTAATTACCAAACAGGCCCACCTCAAGGTACTTGTGTACATGTACAGACTGATTACATATGAATAACTAGCAATACTGAAACTGTTCATACACCATTATCAGTTAAAGAGTGCCTAAATAGCTGTAAGATTTTAAACTCACTTTAATTAGTAGATTATATGCCATACTAGTGCCTCAGGTCTCAAGTAAATCGACAAGCACTAATGAGTTTGAATCATCCTGCCCTCCTGACTCCTGACTTTTCACCGGTGTTTTTTGCCTATCACAGTTTTCATGGCTTTCTCTCTTGTATTTCAGGATATTCTCCTTATGCAAGCTTTCCCTCTAAGGCTTTTGCAGCAAACTTAGTCTCTGACCTGTCCTCTTCCTCTCCTCTTGACTTAGGTAACTGTTTTCATTATGCTTGGCAGGCTGTTCTCCTCCCTGTTCCCACTGGTTCCTACTGAGCGTATAGTGCAGGACAGCTGGATCGTGTCTCACCTGCAGGCTCACAGACACGGCAGGGTTCCGTTATAGCCCAGTGTCCTTATACTGAGTTTATCAGTCAGAAGTGGACATTGTCACTCAGTTTGTCCCTCACATTCTTCTTCTTCTTCTTCTTCTTCTTCTTCTTCTTCTTCTTCCTTTTCCCTTTCCTCTTCTCCTTTCCTTTCTTTGCCTCTGCCACAACCATCTCTAGAATAAAAACCAAAGAAGTAAACTGGGCTGACTCACTGGTCCTCAGTATGCCTGACTTACTTGTTTCCTTCTTCTCTCTGTTAATCCTAATTGACTAGCTAGATGTACAGAGATCACAGGTTTTGGGGATTTTCTCCAACATCAACTAGCTAGTTTTTTTTTTTAATCATAAATTTTTCTTTGCATAAATATTTACAGCTAGCTAATGTTGTTCGAAGTTGGTGATCTCTTATTAAGCTTTTGTTTTTCAAAATTAATCTGAGCTTTAGTTTGCCCACTCTGAAAGTAACTATCGATTTTCTTTACTATTACAAGCAACTGTCGATTATCAGACTAGATTTCAAGCTATCAAGGAACATAGCAAAAGATATATTTCTTATTGGTAATGTATAGAAGACTGCACAAATCTTAAGATATCTCAGTTGTTCTAGTAATTTATTTCATATTACATCTGCTCTTCAAAATGTAGCACTCTTGAAGCGTATTTATTTCGAGTGTATTTTATGGAAACATTTTTGTTAATGAAAGCCATTATTTCAGTTTTTTTTTTTAAATTACAGCTATATACAGTATACCACATGTTCAGAATTTACTGCTGGATTTCTAAATTATAATCTTTATTCTGCAGGTGTGAGAGGACCCCCCACCACCGGTGCACCCCCAGCGTCTGCAGCTCAGCCGTATTCACAGTTTGGGACGAGTGACATACAGAATGGACCACCATCTATGGGTGCCCCTCCACAAAGGTTAAGATTCAGTGTATTCCTACTGAGATAGTCTTTTTCTTTCTTTTTTTTTTTAAACATGTCATGTAGCAGAAGTTAAATGGCTTAAGTCAGCAGTAGAGACACTTCCCTAAGCCTGGATTATCAAATGCAAGCATTTTTAACAATTTGTTAGTAATATTAAAAGTCAGATTTGTCTGACAGCTCAAAAGATTGTAAATTCTGTACTTTTTGGCAATTCTGAGTAAAATTTTCTATAGGTTGAGTAAAATATGACTTCCGAGTGGCTCAGCAGAAGAGTGTTCACTTCAGTGTCGGGAGATCGTGAGTCGAGTCCTGATGCCACAGGCTTCCATAGCCAGAAGTCAAGGGAGCAAAATTGGCCATGCTGTCTATGTGGGAGGGATGGTATACTCTTTCTCCCTTGTCAATCAGAGCAAAAGTAGTCAGTCATGGGCATGTATTCAGAAATGGGCATCTGTGAGCTCATGTATACAGAAGAAGGCAGATAGCATTTTCTTTAGGGTGTGTTGTGTGCTCTCTGACACAGCAGTTTGAACAGATGTAGTTGACGTGTGTCTTGGAGGAAGCACGTTTGGCTTTCGTCCTCCTCAGTTGGTAGCTGTTGTATGATGAGGATAGATGGCTAGTGGGTGGAAATTGGGGAAAAACTATGTATGAGGATAGCTGGCTAGTGGGTGACCAAAATGGGGAAAAACTATGTATGAATGCCAGTT